ATACCAGTTACCAAATGTCTTACACCTTTTGAAGGACTGCTCTGAGAGCTCCTGGGGAAGAAGAACAAAGTCTGTTCAGTGCAGCCACACACAAATTTCCTGATGGTGATGCTGGGGCTCTTTGCTCACCCAGCTGGGCTGTGGGGAGGGGGAGCACACAGCTGTGCTGACTCCACACCGGCGCCGAGCCCAGCTGTGACAGTCACACTTTGCTTGTCGTTTCCTCACTGCTCTCAGGGGGCCTCTGTCACCTGGCAGAGAGGTGTGGGTGCCTCTGCCTCCCCACAGCACCTGGAAACCTCCAGAAAGTCCCAGGATTTCCTACCCATTTACACAGGAGTGTGACAGTATCCCATAATGGCATGGACAGTCTCCCATGGGGGATTTCTCCACCCGCATTACCGTGCTTGGAGAGGTCGGAGGCAGCTCTGAAGAAGGTTGTGTGCAGATGCTGACTTGGGTCTCTAAATCAGTTGTGTCACATGGGTGTCACAGTGGGCTCAGATTGGGAAACTTGCAGAGTCTATCATTCCTAGCTCACCTTTGGCTCTGCAGAAGCACGTGGCACAGAGGATGCCCAATTTTGGTGGTCCCATATGTTTCATACACCAGCATTGACACTCTTGGCTCTCTGGTCATTTAACTTTCTTCTCTGTCCACCTCATTTCTTTGATACCATGGGGTTTGGGATTTTCTCTCTCTCTTTTTTTTTTTTTTTTTTCCTAGGCAAGGTTTGTGGTGGGCATAATGGAATGAATTAAAAGGTGCCAAATTAAATTAGTGCACAAATTTGGAAGGAAGCCAGTCAGGAAATAGCAACTGCTTTTAGCAGAAAGCGTGAGAGAGGGAGAGAGACAGGGAGGATCTGTCTGCCTGTGTCCAAGTGAAAATGTAAATCATGTGCCCCAAACCCAAAATCAAATGATTATAAATGTTTTGGATTGATGCAGCACATTTGTGAGTGATTTCCAATACTTCTTCCCGGAAAAAAGTCCCCTTGTTTGCTCACAGAAAGAGCCAGATGTGCAGGGCTTGTTGGGAACTTGTGCATTTTGGACATTTCAGGCTTACCTTTGCTGTGCTGGTGAGTGAAGGAGCCCCATCTATACCTTATTAACTTGATGTAAGAGTGCAGCACAGTAGAAAATAAGGATGATGTGCTCACTGATTCCACAGCAGTGGTCTACATGGCTTTAGCTCTCCTCTGAGCTTACAAACACAGCAGCCATGAGGAAATATTTCCAGCCACAGCTTGCCTCTGCTTTACAAGTTGATCTCATTTCATCTGCTCATGTGACTTCCAGCAAAGTCAAATCTGCGGAGGCTTCCTCTCACTTCATTCCGCCCTGGACTTAAAATAGTCAGAAAGCTTTTATATGGCTCGCAGCAGAAAACAGCCATGGTGGCTTTCGACCAATTACATCATGATTATGCGGTAATCTGTGTTTTCTATGTGTTCAGAAATGTATTTTTTGCCACAAGTGCCTATTATAGTAGATTTATGGAAGAGCACAGGGCACACTTTCTGCTTTGTAAACCGAATATTTTATTATATCAGACGGTTGCCAAAGTTCTCCTAATATATTTTGTGTCAGACTGTTGTGAGAAACAGCACAAAATGGAATAAATTTCTTAGTTTCTCATGAATACTAATCTCTGAAGAGAAGCACAGACTATATTCCACCAGCTTGCTCTTGATGCAACACTAAACCAAACCTATGAGATCTCTGTATGAAATCACAACTCTCGAGAAATTTTACTGTACTCCTTTAATTCTCTGTTATCCATGGCACAGAATGCACTGAAATATATGGATGAGCTATTGAAATTACGGTTGTTAAATATGTCATTTATGCACCTCTACTGAAGGTCTTCAGAGTTCTTTACAGTGTCTACCCTGTGTGATTATTTATTCTATTATTATAAAGTGTATAATATATGCTGCATAATATATATTGGATATATTATACATCTCACATCAGTGTAATGCTAGAAATCAGGAGAAACTAAGTAAATGATTTGCCAAAGCCAGAGAACAACTGTGTGGAATCATTAGCAACAAAAATCAGAAACTGTGACTCTTGTACCTTTATTCTAACCACTAGTTTTCAATTCTACAAGGACAGTGTTTTGGGAAGGAAATGCATAATAAAACTGCATTGAGGAAGTCTTTTTCAGCTTCCCAAGTCTGAGTTATTTTGATTGAAAGACTCAGTTCAGTATGGGACCTGTCACTGTTGGATCTTGGCTTTCTCCTCCTGTTTCTCCTCATCTTCCTTCTCAGGCACTTTTATTTTCCTATATGAAGGTTATTAATAGATCTAAATGCTTTACAATTGTTTCATCTCTAATTAAGCCTTGGTCTGGCACTTTTTAACAATGATTGCTGCTTAAAATCCTCTGAGGTATTATTCCAGAGCTCATAGCTCCTTGTGCTGAAACAGGAAAAATCCATAGAACACTGTGTAAGGACATCAAATGAGACATCTTTTCAAACTGAGACTTTTTTTTATCTACTTGGCTTTGAAAACATTCACTTGTTTCACACAACTTCTGGGCACTCTGAGATGCTTTTCTGGTAACAGCAGAGAGACCAAACTTCCCTCACTGGGACCAAAATGATAAAATAATTAATCTGCCTTTCATGGCATCAAAAAGGGGTTTGTTTAGTCACAGCAAAGGAAGGTTTTGTGAGCAGCACGTAGTATTTCAGGTTTCCTTTTAGTTACAGTGCTGTTATAACTGTTCTGTTGCACTCATCCAGACCTGTTGGATGTTTTCAGTCTGTGTCACCAGTCTCAAAAGTTTTTCTAGTGTATCCAAGAGATGTATCATAGCATTTTCTTCCAGTAGATTCCTTGAAGGCGTCCTAGTGATGAATAAAAATGAGATAAAAAATATGATGCATCATCCATGGTGTGTTAAAATGGGCCCCAGAGTTATTGAGACTGGTACATAGTTTGCATTTCATTTAAATGCATGCTTTGCCTCATTACTTAAGTAGACAAACTTGGGAAACCTTTATATTATGAGCTTTATTTCAAACTTAAGTTAATTATTCATATGATTATATTTCTTTCTTAGGTTCCACCTTTCTCCTTTTCATAGTCTGACAATAAATAATGTACCTAACATGCCTGTATTTTTGGACCAAGAAAAACACCCTCAACAGTGAACTTATTTTGTATATGGCAATCAAAGTTCAATAAATATAAAAAATTAATCTGTTTTTCATTTGTGTAAGCACAAAAATGTATTTAAGAAAATTCAGTCCCCTTTCATATTTTACACTCTTTAAACTCCAACTTGGCTTTAGTGACATTTTTTCCAACTTAAAACCTTGTTTGCCAAGATTCAAACTGAGTGAATTTTTATTGCACAGTTATAAACCATTGGTGGAGGGGGGGGTGGGGGGAGAATTATATAATGGAAAAAAGTTGAAATAGCCTTTGCTCTAAAAGTGCAAATAGCATACAGCACCCATTAGAGAGGGAAAAAAAAAAAAAAAAGGTCATTGTTAATATTTTCATTTAAATACTCCTGTAATGCTGTAAAATGCACCCAGGGTGCTTTTTACAGACAGAACCACTGAACATCGTTAAGGAGTAATGACCAGTGGAGAGGGCAGCTATTGACAAGCTGGGGCAAAAGCTGTGGTGCAACCACCAGCCCTGAGCTTCCACTGGTCTTTAGCAGCCAGGAAACGCCAAACCTTTGGAGAAAGAGGAATATTCTGGTCCTGATGCTGTTCAGGTGTGGTGCTTTGGTGGCCAGGTGAGCATTCTGCTGCTCCTGGCTGTACCAGAGGAGAAAGAGGGGGTAGAAATACCCAGGGACGTGCCAGTTCTACAATAATCATTCAGGAAAATATTCAGTTTTATAATAATTGCTCAGGAAAACTGGAAAATATTCAGATTCTGTTAACAATAGTTTGGATATGCTTCCAATTTTTATTTTTTTTCTTTTCAGGGCTGGCAGCTGCCAAGACCTTCGCTGGTTGTTGCTTTGCATTCTGGGGTGCAGCTCGCAGTGATTACTTATCCCAGTGAACCAAAGCCTCCAGTATTTTTCAGCATGACCTGAATGGTCAAATCTTTGGCTAGTTCAGTGATTTAAACTGAAATACCATCTGGCAGCAATATAAAACCCAGTCTGGTAGGAGGTGAAATGGAAGAGTAGGGAAGGATTGGTAGAAAAGATATGACTGGAGAACAAAAATATGTATCAGCAATAGCATCAGGATCAGTGTCAAAATTCCATGGTAGGTCTTGCTGTCATCTTATGGTTAAGTTTTATGAGGCCTGCCTTCAAGAAGGAAATCACACAGATTTGAGAGGAAGAACCGGGGTTCTCCTGTGCTAGGAAACTATTTTCCCGTGGTTGAATATGACAATTGGCATTTACAAATGCATAATAATGAAGGGGAACAAATAACATTCATTATAATGCTCTTGAAGCAACAATCAGAGTCTGTTTGAAAGTCAAGTGTCTGGCAGTACATGAATTAACTTGACAGAATTAGGAAAATACTATGGAAACTGGAAAATGTACTGCATAAAGCTGACTCTGTTTTGCCAATTCATACTCCAGTGCATTTGTATAATTTTTATACATAAATGAAGCAGTGTGTAATCTGTGTAAATCATTTGTAAGTACTGGGAGCTGCAGTATCTAGAGCATGAAGTGTATGGAGCCAGAGAAAAAGCTCTGAAGGAACAGTAATGTTAATGTGATGACTGAGAAGTAACTGCGTGTTTAACTGTCTGTGAAACAGAAAAAGGTTAACTGCTACATGAGAAGCATAATTATTATAGTGCAGTTCCCCCATAGCTTTCAAGGACACTATATATAGATATGTGTATATATATTCATGATTTCATATAAATTTGTGCATTAATCTATGCACAAACTTGGGAGCAAACAAAACATTTTACCTTTTTAATTTTAATCTTTCTTTTTCTATTATTATTTTGCTCTCCCATCTATGAATGGGAGAGCAAAATGTTCTCATTTCATGGAGTTTCATGTGACTTTTATTAACATTTGGTCTTTAATTTGGTGAAATTCCATTTGTAATATATCTTTCCCATGAATATGATTTAAATCAATTTCTTCAGGTTTCACTGACATAAAACTTCAAGGAGAAGTTTGCTAATGCTTGCTCTGTTCTGAAATACAGTGATCAGGACAACAGGAGCTAAAGAAGAATTTCTAAAGAAATTCTTTAGAAGCCTCATATGCAGAGTATGTTCAAAAAGCAAATACCCAAATGCTCCATACTCAACACCTGGGGAAAAAAATCATGGCAAAGTCCCTCAAGGTGCAGAGAACAAAATCTTTTGCTTATTCAAGAGAAATTTAAAACAGTGGAGCCTTTACCCTCCATTGTTCAGTAATTCTGAATAACTCCTATTTGTTACAAATGTGATTTTTTGCTAGGGCCTTCAAATACTGTGAAAATAAAAATCATAAATATAGGTGCAATAATCTCACATAGCAACAGGATGGATCTTCAGTAAGCTTCAACATGAGATTATCCAGAAGCATAAAAATAAATGAATATTCATACTCAGTAAATCAAATCAGGCTTGTATGTTGCAGAAAGAATTGGATCTAAAGCATTTGGGAAAAAAAAATGGACGAAATAGCTTTATAAGGAACTGAAAGGGGGTCAACAGAAAAAATAAGTAGAGATGATTAGAGGAGAACAGGTAAAATTTCTGTGGAAGGCCAACCAGAATAGAGAAGGAATAATCAGTTCATAAATTCAATTTAACAGTTTTTAGTTAAAACCTAAATTATGCTGTTTAAGGGCTTTCAGATGGTCCCACAGGATAGCAATTTCTTTCTTTCTCCTTGCATAACTGCAGTCCACTCTCCCTAGGCTGCAATTCCCTGGTTCTGACATGAGCAGCAGCCCAGATCTCCAGCACAATCCAACAGAGCAACTGTTCTTAAGGTGAGGGAGTCAGTGGAAACACCTGACATGAATTTCCTTGAAATGAGCTGGCATGGGTGAGTTTTTTCAGTCAACATTATGGGGCTTTAGTCCCTACTACAGATCACCAAAGAGTTTTCTGTTGGGTTTCAAGCACAAACCTTTTCAAAAACCCTGTCTTCCTGGATGTCTTCACAGTGCATGCAAAGAGCAACTGCCTTCCCTCAGCTTTTGGCAAAGCATGAAGTACCACTACTCATTTCTAGGCCACAAATAATTGAAACTTAGTTGTTAACAGAAAAGATTTTTCTTGAAAAACATTTTGTTAAAAATTCCAAATTGTAATCCATATTTGTCCACTGGGCATGATTCCAAGATCATCTTTTCAGTGCTGTCATGACTGCAGAAAGGTGCCTCCCTGTGATGAAAGTTCTTGCTAGATTTTTCTAGGGTGTAGCTCTGAGCCTGGCTCTCTCACTTTCTCCTTTTTCAGATCAGAAGGAACAAAGGAATTCATGTCAGTGACTCATTGAGAACTGTTCTCCACAGCTGCTGGAAGAGCAGCAACCCATCCATTCCCTGACACAGGTATCAGATTAATCAAAGACTTCTTGGGGACTATTTTTCCTTGACATATGCCTACGAAACCTCTGCCTCCAAGACTTAGATGAAAAGGTCAAAGAGCCTTTTCATGGTAAAGCTTTTTGGTTGGAAATGGGATTACCATGGGACAGAGTGGTCCTCGGGCAAGCAGGCAAAGATTTCAAAGGCAAACTTGGCATTAGAGGTTTGGCAAGTAAAACACTTGAAGCCTCTGCCAAGCATCCCATGTCCAACAATGCCCAGCATCCTGCACAGAAGGGAGACTTTTGATACCTTAATGAGCTAAAGAGACTGTAAAAATGTAGTGTTTATAACATGTGTATTGTGCCAGAGACCAAAAAGAATCCACTTTTTCTCTCTCTGTGCGAAGGAGAAAGAGGTAATTCATGGCAGAGAAATAAGTAAAAATTACCTCAGGCTTGCAAGACTTTTGTTTTTTGTTTTGTTTTAAACTTTTTAAATCTGCCTTATCAATTAATTGCCATAAAATAATGTTTTTCTTTGTTGCATTTCAGTGGCAGCTCTGGCTCTTTATGATATCATTCCAAAATAAATGTTTGAGCTTTTTTGGCCGAAATGACAGAATATACCATTTCCATTAAAAACCAAAGTAATGAAAGCCATGTAAACAGCTTTTACTGGCCCTGTAACTGCCTATCTATGTTTCTATAAATGGGAAAATGGGAAAAAAATTAGCTGGTGGTTTGGACTGCCTCTGGCACTGCAGCCAGGTGTGCGTGGGCAGGTGCCCATGCCACTGCCTCTGCCGTCAGCAGGGAGATGATGGCTGGTGTCACTCTGCTCCAAGAGCCCATGGAGCATCCCTTGGATGCAGCCATCCCCTCCTGGAGTGCTGCTCATCCAACAATCCTGAGTCAGCTTCCACCCTAAGCCAAAATTGATGGGAATGGTTTTTGTCAACTTGGCAGCGCGGTGAGACACTTGATGTGAAAATTTGCATTAACAGGCTGAAAAGCTCATTGAGAAAACATATTATAGAATCGTGGAATGGCTCTACAATGAATTAATAATGCAGGTGATTGTTATTAGAAAGCCCATACCTAATTAGGGCATATGATTATATAGATTATTTTTAGAAAGCTTATAGAATACAGATTATGTTTAAGGCCCATTAAGAAAACACAAGATCATATAGGATCACTCGTTACATAATGAATGAATGAATATAGAATACTTTCACTTTTCACTGATATAGCCTGTTTTCTGTGAAATTTCCACTCCTTTTATTTTTAACAGTATTATAAATATACTTAAATATTTTATTTTGGTTTATTTTATTTTAATATTTTATTTTGTTTGATATTTTATCTTATATATATTTATATATTTGATTTGCTTTGATGGAAGTGTGTCTTGAAACTTGCTGTATAAGCCATTCTCCAGTGAGAATTGCAAACATATACCTTCTTAAAATGCATTGGTGGCATTTTGAAGTAAAGTTGCAAATGGACTCATCAGTTTTGCCTCACCTCTCCTTCCCCCTCTCTTCCCACTAATGCAATTCTAAAGGTCTGATATTTTGAGCTTGTCATCTCCATCAGGGAGATTAATTGTCCCCCTGCAAAGGAAGTTGAGAAAACAAATAATAGTGTAAATCATCACATTTTGTTGTTTTTTTGTGCATTTTGTGTTACTTAAATTGCAAACTGGTTTTGTGTTGCTTGGATGGAAGCTCTTTCCCCTAATAATGTCTAATCTGACTTGAGCAGCTCAGTTTAGTTGATTGCTACAGGCCTTACCCTAAATTTTCCTCCTCCATTCATTCCTGATGTCCAAAAAATAGCTGTAGGAAAAAAGCCCCCTTGCTTTTTTTGTTGTTTTTGTTTCAGCTAAAAACATCTGTTGGAATAAGTGTTGCTGCTGAGAAATGAATTGTGGGCATTGTCTGTGTAACCACCCAACAAACGCTTTTTCCCTGGCACCTACTGAGCAGCACTGCCCTTTGGAGTTCAAAATTTTGCTCATTGCTGACACGAGGCACATGATTGCCATTTGGAATGTCATCCTCCTTGCTAGAGATTCCTGACATAAGGGGCTTTGCCTGGGATTTGCTCTGAGGAGTCCCAAGTGCCATGCAGGCAACTCTTTGCATTGGGCACGTGAACCCTGAGAGATCAAAACCCCGGTGGTCTGAGCCTGTTGAAAGCCTTGGGTCAGAGTTTCCATCTGTAAACATTCTCTTGTGTGTTTATGCTCTCATACAGCTTGATTTATTGGAGGTGAAACCCACTGTATACTAACTAACTGTATACTAAGTCTCCTAATGAAACTGATTAATTACTGTTGATTGTAGGCTGTGCTCATCAGCAATAATAACTCAGATGATCAGCTCATAGCCCCATACTATTAAGTTCAGCTACATGATGAGCTCATTGGTTAAGTCAGAAGAGTGACTGTGGATTATCCCACCTTTTGGAAAAAAAAGTATTATTTTGCAGTTCTTTTTCAACATGTCTCCAGAACAGATGAGAAGTGTCCATTACATTTCTGTCTGGGTGACATCACAGACATCACCTCTAGTACACTCAATGCATGTTTGTTAACAGATTTTCAGAGTGAAAAGAATTTCAAATCATAAGCTGAGGGTCATTCTTGATATTTAGACACATACATCTATCTAATGTATATCTTAATTATACCTAATTATATCTTATACTTGATTATACCTAATGTATATCTTTTTATTTTATATTTCTTGGCTTTATGGTACTGACATGCAGTGGGATCTTCTCAAAAGGCTGGATTTTCCAGGAGCAGTACTTTAGGAAAGGCAGTAGATCTTCTGCTAAAACAGCACAATTTTCCTTTTCCTTTGTAAAATAAAGTTTAACAATTTTTTGGGCATGTTCTTGCCTGATCATTGCTTGCTATTAAAGCAGCACAAGCAAGACCTTTCAACTTTCTGAGGGATTTCTCTTTCCATGTCTGTGGCATGAACTGCTCATCTTTTGCAAATTATTCAGTGTCATAGCAAAATAACTATTTTTTGGCCCAACTTTCCTTTTTTTTTCTCATAAGCCAGATTCACTCCCTTCAAATGCAGAATGTCCCAACTTTATAGCTAAGTTGAGATGTGGAGCAGAGAGTACCATCACTGCTGTTCAATCCTGCCCATCAAGCTAAGCTCCAAGTACATAAAGGTAGTGAAGTGATGATACAGGGATGAAAAATATTTCATTGGGAATATCCAGCAATCCTCTCTGAGTTTGCTAGCAAAAATAAAATCACCACAAAACTTTGTGGTGAAATGAAATCTAAAATCAGTAAATATTTTTTAATTTTCTCCTATTTTGATAAGAAATTAACCATGTTGTTCCATTTTTTTCTTTTCCTGGTGCAATTGTGGATAGAAGTGTGTGTTGGCTATTTTACAATGTGTGATCTGATCACAGGTACAAACAGTTTATGGCACTGCAGTCATGCCTAGAAACATCCAACATCAGAAAGAGAACAGCCTCTCTGGCTTTTACTGTTATGCTGTTCAGAAGAAATTTAGTTCCTGGACCTGAAGTAGCAAGCAGGCATGAAATGTGATATTGTTTAATGGTGAATTTGAAACCCTTCACAGGGGGAATCCAAGAGAAAAATGACCTCTGAGCAGCCAGAAATCACCGGCTGCCAACTGCTGACATCTGTACTCCTGGTGATGCTCTGAGATTCCTGACATATGAGGTTGAGTAAAGCAGAGTAAATTGATAAACCAAACATCATAGCTCTGGATTTCAGCTCAGTTTCTTCATATTAAAATAGTGAACAGAAAGCTTCAGCGGGACAACTGGTTTTGAAGAGGACACGTTTGGCTTTGGTGTTACTGCAGCCCCACTTCAGCTCTGTGTTCGAACTGGTTAATGCCTCCAGATTCAACCTTTTGTGCCATGTGAGGAAATGTTCCCTCATTGCTCTGATCTTGCATTCTTTCAGTGTGAGATTTTCTGTGTCTCAAAATATCCTTTATTAACAACCCAGAATTTCAGGGCCCAAATCATAACTTCCAGTGCAGTCAATCCAGATCCAAATGTTACAGCTCAATTTCTTTCTGTTCATAACTTTCCTACCGATACTCAAACAGCTACAGGAAAATCCAGTATATTACCCTCATTTTCCATTTTCTGCTACAAAATTTTTTATCTTTCTGCATTTGTTTTTATGGTAGGACAGTTTCTGGTTTGAATTTTATCTAGCATAAAAGCTGCCTAAAGGCACAGACCTCGAAACTAGCCTATTATTCCTTTCAGGTTTTGGCTGAAACTGAAACATGGAGGAAAACCAATTGTCCTCCTTTTCCTGTTCTGAAAGATAAGTGTGACATGAAGCACATGCCTCTCTTAAACGCTCTCGCATGTGCCTAGAATTTTAGGTCAATAAACCCAGCTCTGGAACAGGGCTGAGGCAAGCATTATGGATTAAAGATTTGTTAGAAGGGCCAGATTCCAGGCAGAGGTTTCTTTGTTCCTCCAGAAGGGTTTGTTCATGCACATTACTCCTTGTTTTATGTCTCTGCTTCTCAGTGCTTGGCCACCAGTTCCTCGCAGGACGCAGATGTGCTTCCCCACTGCCTTTGTGCTTTCCCCACACTCTTCATCCTCACAGCACAAATGTTCAGAGGATGTAGCTATGGATGTCCAGATTGGACAAATTAGAGGATATCATCACTTCTGTGTTTCCAGGACTCCCAGCAACCCAAAATTGCAGATTCTTTATTGTCATCTGCATTTAAGTGGACCTCAACAGGTACCTCAGCTTTTAGACAAGAGTAGCACCTGGAAGACCTACACAAATGAGCCCATAGATTCATCCAGCTGAAGTAAATTGACTGAATTTCAGACAGACAAACTTGTAACATGGCTGGTAAATTACATCCACTTTCTGCTGCTTCATTTCCAAGCACTTTTCCATTCTCTTTTCCTTCATCTGGTGTGGCTTTTGTCCCTGGAAGTGAAGCAGCAATGGCTCTGCAAATCCTGTTCAGAGAGGGTCAGGAATGCTCATATAAAAAAGTCTTAGTTTTGCCTTCCAGTGCCTCCATTCCTGGGGATTTCCTGTTACTAAATAATGCTCTTAATAATATTTAAATCTCCCATAAAAATAATTAAATTAACTTTGTCTAAAGACTGTTTTCCTTCCTGACACTAAAATGGGAGATTAATGATCAATTGATTGCCTGTTACTCGCTCTCACCCTTTACAAAAACATTATAAATATAGATATTAAAGGATATGAGAGAGGTGAGAAACAAACTGAGGCTTGTTCTTGCTCTGAAGAGCGTCAAGCACTACCTGGGGCTCACCATAGGACAAGCCGAGTGGCCAGGCTGATTGCCTTGCTCACCTCCCTGCAGTTTGACTTAGCTCCTCTCTTCCTGCAGTATTTTTGCCTTTCCTCCCCCTTGACATCAACATCATTTTTCACTTGTCCTCTGGTGACAGTCAGGCAAAAGTTTTTTCCTTTATTTCAGCCTCCTGAACTGCTGGGAGGTGGTTGAGGTAGGATGTGCCAGAGACAGGGACTTGGACAACCAGGCAGACAGTTTGGAGAGCAAATAACCCTGGGTGAACTAGCCTTAGAGGGATTGAAATATCCTCGCACAAGGACAAGGAAAATTAAATAAAGGACTCTGAAATAAAATGCCTCTCTTCAGGTTTGAGTGCCAGATTAACACCCAGGTGCTGAAGCAACATTTCCAGGTAGACAGAAGATGGGTGTATCCAGATAAAACCATGCCTTAGTAGCCAAACCTGAAATTCCAGCCTTCCTAAAGCAGACTTGACTGCTTAACAGTCCTTTAAACCTCTGCAATCCAGATGTACTTTGGTTTTAGAAGCTCCTGTTCTGATTTCACCTTGCAAGTATTTGATACCTCTTTTCCTTAAATTATCGTGCCTGAGTGGATGTGCAAATATGTACATACATATCTTCCACATTTAGTGGGTAAAAGGGACAAACTGAACTTAAAATAGAGATTGAGGCTGAGGAGCAATTTCTCTATCCCTGGTAGTCTTCTAATATCTAAGTAAAACTTCTTTTCTTTCTTACTGACTCAGCCCTTTAATGAAAGGGAGGTTTTCTTTTAACTTCAGGGCTGAAGAATGTCTTTGAATATGTCTCCTAGAAGAAGTAGAAGAAAATATGGTTCTGCAATTTCTACCCCCTGTGTTTAGCTGGCACCTCTTCCTCCATGAGAAGAACATGATGAATTGTATGGTCTTAAATGTAAAAAAAAAAAAAACCAAACATTAAAGTATAGGGGTCCTTTTCTGCCTTTGTATTCTTTTGTAATATAAAATGTTATTTGGCCACAGGGTTTCTTATATATTTACTTTGGCCCTAATGTAAAGAAGGCAAATGAAGTTAATTTCTGAGAGGAAATAATGTTATTTCTCCTTAGAAGAAAGGAAGTTACATACACTCCAAGAAGCTTTCTAGGAGCTAATTATCTCAGCACTAATAACTACAATCTTAATGGCCAGGTCTTGCTTCTGGTCATTTAGGAGAAACCTTTAATAACACTGCTCTTTGAAGAATCTTCTGTACAATTTTATTATCACAGTTGGGATTGCTTACTGGTTATTTTTAGCTGCCCTTTGAAGAACTCCTATCTCTCCTGTGCCATTTCCTAGGAATTGCCTCATGAGTTCTGACATTTTTTAAATTAATGACTACAGATATGCAGTTTTGCCAATAAAGGTAAATTCTGTTATGTTCAATAAAGGTATATTCTGAAAAAAAAAAAAAAAAATTAAGGGGTGATTCTGATGTTTCCTGTACCAACCATAAGTCCATCAAAACAAATCAATTAATTTCACTGATGGAGTCCTGAATAAAAAGAATAATTTATTTCTTGCTTTTAATATTTCTGATATGAAAGGTATGCTTTTGAATGAAATATGAAATGACTGATTATTGGAGTTGCTGACCAAAATGCCTGTGTATGCACATTCTTATAACTAGCATGAAAATTTAATGTTCAAAACCTACAACTAAATTTCATTTATCCAAATTAATACCTCTAGAATTTCTCTTTGAGTAAAAGCAGCAGCAAGGGAGAAAGTGTGGTGTATTTAATAGTCCCTCTGTTACTGCTGGCATTTTCAAATTGAAAATTCCTAGAAAGTTCATGTCTTATTCCTGTTAATGTCTGGTTCGCCCCAAGGTGTTGGCTCTTTTATTATTAACACCTAAGGTCTGATTTCTCACAGTGGGCACGCGAGAAGGCAGAGTTTTATACCTAGAATATAAAATATAAACTTATAACCAGCCCTTTGCTTGCATCAGTTGCTCTCTGAAATGGCAGCCATGGAAGAGACACAGAAATAATTGTTGTTCACCTCTAAAAACCATACCAGCACTGAAGAAGGAAAATTGTATTTATTCCAGGTTTTTCTGCACCAGCCTGGAACTGACTGAGCAGAAGCACTGAGAGGCATCACAATTCCCATGTAAGTCAGCCTTGGGTATAAAACCTGGGAATAAGTCATGTCAGTTTGGTCTTTAGCAGTCTGCTGAGCTTCAAATAAACACAGAGGGATAAGCCGCATATCAATAATTTGGAAATATCTAAATATTAATATTTTGGCTCCTTCAGTTCTTGTACTGTTTCATTTATTCTCCTCCTGTGTTTTGAGCTGCATGCTTAAGCCTTCCAATGGAACTAATGGCACATTCCTGGCTGGCGTGTCAGCACTGTCACACAGCCCTGTGTCCTGGCAGTCCCCTCAGGTCCCCACTGCTGATCCTACACCTCCTCCTGGCCCTGCAGCTGCTGAGGATGAGCTCATGCACGTTATTTTAGAAGGACTTCCAAGATCAGTCTCCCTCTCAAGTGAATATTTCCATAGCTGATGTAGCCCTGTCATGGTATTTTCTGTTTATCTACAGCTGAGAAGAGGGTGTATTAAATTACTTGGTAGCAGCTAGGGTAGACAGTTCCATTTTGTCTTTATTAAATCACACGTCGCTGAAAGTTTAAACTAGTTGAGCAAAACAGTGAATCAAAGTTCAGGGCTGTTCCTCTGATTTCAGCTGACTTATATCACTTTCACTGGATTTGAATTATTTGTGAAAGCAAACCCTTCAAGAGTATTATTGTGGTAAAAGGAATGGAATCCTACATTTCTATATATATGATATTTTTTTTCCATTTCATGTCCTGTTCTTTACAAAAGTCTTTAGTTTAATTGGCTTCAAAGAAGAATTTGCCTGCATTTAAGCTATCAAAACTTTAGGCAGAGCAGATAGGAGTAAAGCCAATTATTTATACTTTCTTTTTAGTGCACCAAAATGATGAGAATATAAAAAGCAAAAAGATTAACCCAAACTCTCTAACATTTTAAGGTCTCAAAAACCCCCAAGATTAAGGCTTTGAAAAGCATCCAAGTAATAAATCCACAGAACCAAAATGCATAGTTTTAATACATTTATTACAAAGAAACACAGGAGCCGATGGGCACAGATGCTAAGCTGGAAAAACTTCAGCAGCCCTCCGTGTTTGTGGACTTTTAAAAATCAAAGGGTCAGGTGTAATAACCTGATGATGCAGTTTGATTCTCTGATGCCAAAACCCAGTGAGATGCTTGGGGGAAGGGTAAAAAAGGGGTGGGAGAAAAATGTTCCCAGCCTCCTGCTTGGTGTCATTGGCAAAGCCAACGCTGCTCCCTTCTTTAGATAAAGCAAGCACTGAAGCTATGGAATCATAAAATCCTTCTGACTTGAGTGATGTGGACTTTCAGAGGATTCTGGCTTGATGGGACTTTTGGGCAAGATTGTGATGATTTTCCCTGCCCCAGAGGGGGTCAGGGTCTGAGTTGGTGCAGATGTGCTGCAGATCTCGTGTGGAAGGCTCAGTGTCCATGGGGCAGGGCATGGAGAGTGCACCCCAATGAAGTGTAACTACTGTTTTCAGACACAAATCTAGTTACAAATGTAAACATCCTGAGCTTTATTGAGATTTTTGTCAGCAGATTTGGTCCTGGGTTTTGCTCAAAAGCAGCTGTTGCTTTTTGGGGGAGGGAGGTGTGACATTTATTCCCCTATAGCCTTGTGGATTTTGCTGAAAAGCAGAGGAGGTGATTCTAATTCTTCTGAATACCAGTAAAGCTATTTACAGATGTTGAGTAAGCTATTCTTCTGCAAATCCACTGGAGACTTAATTTAGTCTGCTGCACTCACTAGAGAAAATAAACTCAGCTTTACTTTGAAATTTCTGGATGCATCTCAGGACTGACAGGAAGCACTGCTCCAGAAATCATCAATTTTGACACGGTAATGAATGGCAGATAAGAACAGTTTTGAGTGCAATGCTTACTCCCAAGGCACTCCATTTGCAGTCATTTTTCACAGTAATACATATTTTGGTTTTGTATCAGGCCTAGATATGGTGGTTCGTTTCTTTTCCTGCTTTCCCTCAAGCCACTGATCTGTGCAATCATTTCATGTAGTGAAATGAAAGGAATCAAACTCCTTTCCATCTCTTTCTTGCAGTCTTCCACTGTACTTCTTGCTGCCTCTTAGAATCTGGGCAGGAGGCTCACAGGTAGACAGAGGAGCTCCATCCATTTGCTGCAACCAACTAATGACAAAGGATGTTTCTTTTTCTTCTGTGTGCTTCCATTTCTTCCAGCTTCTCTGCTCTTTCATCCTTTGTCATGATCACAGTTATTTTGGGAAGTAGCTGGATGGAAGAGCTTAGAAATGAGGGACCTCTTCAGACCCGAGTGAGACACCGCTGCACGTGGCATCACATTTTCCTGTAAATGTATATTTAGCTTGAGTATCCCACCAAAGCTCTGTGGGCAGTACAAAGTGACAAAGGTGTGAAATGATTGATTGGCGCAGCGGAGAAACTTCTGTTTCATCCGCGGCCTCCACCAGCTCCTCATTTTCCGTGCGCCTGGGCTGCCAATTCTCACACCTAACGGGTCAATCCTGTTTTGTCTTGCTTGAGCAAAATTCCATCGGCATTTCCAAAGTGATGCCTGCACCCAGGCATTTCCTAGCTTGCTGAGCAAGGTCCTGGATGGTGATGGCTCTCCAGTGTGGCATAGTCTCACTCACCAATTATTCTTGGCGGCGCTTCTCGCCGCCTTTCCAGGCAATCCCGGTGCTCCTTGTCTGCCACAGCCTTTGACTGCTCTGCTTCATTTCTGTTTAATTCCTACTGTTCTTACAGCAACAGCCATGGCAGAAACACATCGATTCTTTCCTCTGACATGTCACCAGCTTTATTTGGACCTCCTGCATGGGCTGTTTCCAGGCATTGCTGCCAGCAGCATGTTTTTGGGTAGTGTTTTCAAGATCAAAGTTATTCGGTGCAAATTCTGGAGGCCTCTGGTATTATCTGTACTGGATTGTTGACAGATGAAAATATAAATTCAATTCGATGGTGAAGGTAAGGAAAAGAATGGCACCAAAGTAAGAGGAGGATGTTCTGTCTGCTCTGATCCAAGTTTGGAGTAAGCACGGCTCCTCACCAGCAGCCCATGGGCACAGGAAATGATGATGATGATTATTAGGTTAGAATCTTTGGGATTGGTGTTTGTGAGATTAATTTTCCATCCCAGCAGCTCAGCCACTTTGGGGATGTGCCTGTGTATCCCATCACAGCCCTCTGCTGCCAGCAGCAGCAGGGAAGACAGGCCTCAAGGTTGCTGCCTAGCCCTTCATTTGACTTTTGCTCATTGATCTGGGGGGAAGAATTGGGGCTGCTCAGTCAGAGGAAGGATGCAAGGGACCAGAGTGCTTGTAATTTTGTCTGCTCCACTCAGACTGAGAAATCTGAGATACAAAACTGTAGGGTGCAAAGACTTTAAAAAGTTTGGCAAAGCCTGGAAAAGACAGAGAGGTTAATACATTCCTGTGCTAGGCTGTAGCCTTAAGTGGTTTTCAAGTATTGATGGAATTAAGGAGGGAAAACATGCTTCCAGGTTTTTTTTTTTTGTTCTCTGCATTGAGAGGCAACTTTTACCTCAAATTACCAGCCTTGTACATGGTCTTTTCTAAGCATAAACTCCTAAGGAGGCTGTCAACTATAACATTAGTTTATACATGCAAAAATAATTTCTAAAATGGATTTTCCAGGTGCAAATCCAATCATCTGTTTAGCCAGGTGTGAGAATCCATCAGCTGTGCACACGTGTCAATGCTTGAAAACTGACCCAGTTTACTTCTCCACAAAGGGTTTGTACTTGGATCTGTGTCACTTAAGTCTGTTTTTGGGCTGTGTTTTGAGAATTTAAGTGGAATTTGGATGGTGGTTTCTGTGCTGAAGGCTCTCTGTGCGGGGCAAATTCTTCACAGAGCGTATGAACAGATGGGCAAATTTGGCGGCCCCCAAGTGAGGCTGGGCTGGGTGCCCAAGCTGATGATCTAGCCCCAGATATGCCTCCTTCTAAAAAGTGCCTACCTCTTGTCAGGCTCATTAGAGAGGGGTGGTTTTGGCTGGTTTGCCTCTTTGGGGTTTTTTGAATGAAAACATAGCGTTTATTAGTGCTTCAGTGTTCCCAAACTCAAATATTTAATAACACCTGCTCTCTAATACCTGACTTGGCTTTGCATTAGAAACAATTGCTTGCAAAGTGTTTATCTGTTGAATGAAAATGATTAAAAGAAAATACAAAGTCCTTCATATACTATTTTGGGGCAAAAGAATGAGCTTGCTGCTATTTTAAATATTCCAGTATAATTTATATTAGCTATAATACCATCAATAAGGCTGCTCGAAAATTAAGTGTCATTCTTGGCCTGAGCCACTGGGTGTGTTGTGGGACCAAATGCCATGTGCCAGAAAAAAAATTAAAACCAAAACCACGGTCAAGTAGCTGAATTTATGGAGAGAGCAAGCAATATGGGCCTGAACAGCACAGCTATTTTGGACAAACAGCAATGCTTCCACCTGGGGAAAATCTTAAAGTTCTCTTCCACCTTAGCAGCAGCTGTGGCATGAAGGGGAGAGCAGCAGCAAGCCACAGCCGTCACTGTTGATGATGCTGTCACCCTCCAGATGGGCCAAGCAGGCAAGGCTGGAAAGCTCTGAGGAGTAAGTGGATGGGAATTAGCTGCCATTTATGTCCCCAAGTGTCAAAATATAGTGATTATTTCTCCTTTATGGGGAAACTAAACCACCCAGCTCTGTCTTTCACTGATTTTTTCAGTGTCAGTTTTTCCCCAGGCAGCTCCTGATTCTACATCTTCCTGCACAAGTCAGTTTTCCTCCAAAGTGGAGGACACTAAGTACACTGTGCCAGACAAGGGCCTTCTAAGGCATTAATGCTTCCTTATCTCTGCTGGAAATCCCTCCCCTACTCCATCCCAGGAGAGCACTTTGCCTCTTTCACAGCTGCATCACACTGATGGTTTCACGATCCTCCTGCGCTCTGCTAAGACGATGCGAATACTGGGGGATTTGGCAGCGCTTCCCGGCTTCTGGCTCCAAGTGCAGGTC